AGCACTATCTGGTCTTATGTCACCATTATCTTCATCTCTACCAACAGTATATATAATCTTATCCCAGCAGTTTCTACCTTCTTATAAGGATATTTGATCTTCTCTTGACGAAATCTAGTATTCTGTCATGTGTTGTGTTCTGAAAGCAACATCCAAAGTTATATCAGCAGTATCTAGATTTCTGCCAACAATGTTATCCTTCTGATAAACAGTATCTAAATAATCTGCTACGATTAGTAATCCACTTTTCTGCAAGCAGCAAGTGCAACTATTTAAGTGCAAGTGCATAATAGTTTTATAACTATAGTTACTGCATTCAAATATTGCGATTTATATCAAATTCCTGGTATAAAATGACTCATTAGTTTAATTTTTTTAAAAATTATCTTGATTATTAAATAACGACTAAGATCATTCGTGATCTCGTTAAGGAGAAAACTTTTCCAGTAATGAATAAACACGAAAACTTTTAGACGACGTTCGTTTTCGAAAGTTTTAATGTTCCCTATTCACGGGTCTTCCCTTATCTTCCTTTTTTGTACACAATTTAAAAGTTCTTGGGTTTTCGTCTGAAATAGATCCACGCTGGGTTTAATATAACTTTGGAACTACTTAGTTTTAGATATATGTAAGTGGTCTTCTAAAATATAAACTCAAAAAAGATTTTGCTACTTTTTATTATTAAATAAATTTGTTTGAATAAAAACAACAAAATGATTGTGTGGTAAATAAATGCTGTTTACATAAAAGACCCGATTTTTCCAGAAAACTCCGAAAAGAGTGGTCGTGTTATTTCGCTTCACCTTTTTTTTGTTCTTTATTTGTTCAGCCTTTAGTGAAAATACGATCAGAGACCTTTGGGTCTCTTTTATCTACGTTTTCGGAGCCTTACAAACTACAAGCAAAACGAGGAACTACGTTCACGAGTAAATTTTCATAGCCTTTCAAGGTTTAAATTGCCTCTGGGGTTGGAGTTATAAAACTTTTCCTTTCGCCAGAAAAGATTCGAAAAATTAAAAAGAAAAATTGTTTCAATATTTTCACGGATTTGCACAGATAAGATACGCGGGGTGAAATCAATAAAATATGAATTGCAGATTCGAGTAAACTTCATTCTGTAGTTTCCACAACTAGTCAACTAGAAGATTAAGTCTACTATTATTGCAGAAAGTTAATAGTTGAACCTGTGGGGCTTTAAGTTTCAACAACTACATTTAACTGAAACTAAAATTAACGGTCGAACAAACTTCACGAGTTTACAACACGAAAACGAGGACGAATTTTTTAAATAATTTATGTCTTACCTTCTCTTTCAAATTTCGTGCATCGAAATGAAATTTTCTAAGGGTCGGAAACCTTCTTCACTTGAAAGACACGTGACGGGGCGAACTTTTGAAGGAAAGTTGAGTAACGAACCTCTCTCGCTTCTAGAAATGTCGTCGTCGTTGGGGAAAGTGACATGGGCCCGGGGGTTTCGTCATATTAAATTCGTGCCACTGTTTGCTTTGCGATTTAACGTTTTAAACTGTTTAAACTTACCCCTCGTAACGTTCCCAAGAACGGAAATCGTGAAATTACCGAACGAAGACTTCGAAATTGTGCGATCAAATGGAACGAGGCAAATATTGGAGTTCGGTTGCAGCTTTGAAACTGTTCGCCTACAAGTTTACCGTTCAAGAAACTTGTATTTCCTTTAATAATCTAACCAAACTCAATTAAATTTGTTATCTTGAAACATTTTTTGAAATTTTTATGGTTTCCATCGGTTAAAAGGATTTAATTCGTTTTCAGGTTAAAAGTGGCAGTTCATTTGCCACTTTTGAACGTTTGATTTCGAGTCGGGCTTAATTGAAATCGGCAGTTGCATTGTCGCCCCAAAACCTAATCGGAAACCGACGCTGGGCGTCGCGATGCATTTATTTACTAAAGCGAATTGCGTGCATGTTCCAGCAAACACAAAAAAACTAATCACCGAAAAGCCATCAAAGTAAAGCCCGATTTAAATCTATTCAAATTAAAATAAATTAAAATCTGACCTAATTTATGTGTATTTTAACGAATCTGAGTAATATTTTAGGTGGTTTTTAAACCGCGTTCTTTTTTAATAAAAAGATTCGAACCGTTAAAACAAAGAAACGGGAATTATGGCACCATCTGCATCTTTAATTATTCATCAAGCTTTTATAACGCAGCGCGAATTTCCCCATTCAACGCTCTTCTTTTCAAGTTTTCACCAGTTTTAATATTAAAATTCTCTCCCCGTGCTTTTCATCAAATATGAATTCAACACGACGACGATGGATGGTTGACAAATGATTTGTATATTGTAAAAAGATTTCAACCAATACCCCATGATGATTTACACAAATATTTTGCATCAATTCCCCATATACCGGGAATTTTATATAACTACTATGCACTTGCACTGTCCCATATAAAATGCAACATAGTTTTTGCCATTGTTCCAGTTATATCCACTTCCCAGGTTTTTCCCTTATACCTAAGACAAGTGCTTTATACTGCCTTCACTGAAGATTTAAAATCGTTAATCAAACAATCTAGCTTGACGTCACACAAGCGCATAGCAACAGAGAGTCTACCTAAAAATTTATGTGGTTGTGTTTCCAGTCCGGTCGTGTTTTAACTAAATTCTTATCGGTTTGCTTAAGAACATAGGTAACAAATAGTATAATTAATGTCTGGTAACATTGGCACTATGTAAATGTTTGTCTGTACTGGTGTTCATATTTCGATGGGTTTGCAGGGTATCTCAGTTATTATGAAAGATAGAAAGTTGCGGCTTTCGCGAACCTGAGCTACTTTTTTGTGAAACTTACAATGGCGCAAACCAAATTTTCATAGCCCTCTTCGTTTTTGATATACAGGGAGTGTTTGAAATTTACGTTTTTCAGACACCTGCTGTATCTCGGCTATCCGGAAACTTAGTAAATAAGTAAAAACGGGTTCTAATAGATTTTTTCACGTGGAATCCAATGGTGCACGTAGAATTTTTCTAGTCATCACGGTTTTTGAGTTATAAACACAACTCAAATACTGAATACTCAACTTCTAAAATACTTAACTCTTTATAACTCAAAAACCGTGATGACTAGAAAAATTCTACGTGCACCATTGGATTCCACGTGAAAAAATCTATTAGAACCCGTTTTTACTTTTTTACTAAGTTTCCGGATAGCCGAGATACAGGAGGTGTCTGAAAATCGTAAATTATGAAACACTCCCTGTATATCAAAAACGAAGAGGCCTATGAAAATTTGGTTTGCGCCATTGTAAGTTTCAAAAAAAAGTAGCTCAGGTTCGCGAAAGCCGCAACTTTCTATCTTTCATAATAACTGAGATACCCTGCAAACCCATCGAAATTTGGACACCCTGTACATTTAGTGATTTTTGTTCACGAGTTTCTATAAATTAAAAGTGGCTATAAATAGAACACATATAAAATATTTTTCCATGTATAGTCACTAAGATGGCTATATTTAGACAAATGTTGTGCCAATTTTAGCCAGGATATAGGTCTATTTAGACCATTGATGAAAACAAGAAAAAGAAAACAAAGGAAAATATTAATAGATCTGTGCAAAGAAATAAAGGTCCTATTCATCAATACTCTTCAGAACAACATGCACGCGCACTTCAAGCACTAGAACAAGATGGAATGGCTGTTTCAAAGACCAGTGGTAGTTTTGCAGCGCCTAGAACAATTTTGCGTGATAAGTTAAGTGGTAAAACTTCAGCAAAGCTGGAAAAAGTTGGAAAAAAGTGTTTTCTAGCTAAGAATAATATATAAGCACTGATTAAAAACTAAAAACAACATTGTTTCTGTAATAAAACTACAAGTTTACTTGAACAGCAGTGTTTATAGCCAATCAATGTCAAATAGTAGCCCATGTTTTGGCAGTTTGATTCCTATATTATTTCTAGATAAGGATATTGAAGATCAACTTGAACACTGGATATTGACAAACGCGAGCCATGGATTTCCAGTGAACAAGGAAGGACTAATGTATTCTGTTCAGCAAATATTGGAGAAGAAGCGTCTAGACACTCCTTTCACAAACAATAAACCAGGAAGGAAATCGTTCGAATCCTTTTTGAAACGTTATCCCCAAATAAGCCAAAAACAACGAAGACAAAATTAGAGCTTGGTTTGCCAAAGTTCAAAAGGTTCAATTGAAGACACTGAAGTTTTTAGTCAAGCAGAAAGAGTCTGGATATACATATATTATATACATCTATCTGAATATACATATATTACAATTATTAATCGTTGCACTTCTTTTTCAAATTATTACATCTTTATATACAGTAGTTTTCAATCATTTAAATTGCCAATTTATCAATAATTTCAGTTTAGATTAAGTATGGTGGCTAAATATACTGTATACACCAGGCTATAAATGGTGATCTAGTGGCAATAATAGGAAAAACGGTAGTTTTAGTATACAACGATACTTTCTAGTTCTAAGTACAGTAGTAAAAAGTTCTAAGTAGTAAAAATTGCTTTCAAGGTTGATTCTGGGCGAGACGCTATAATTTCGAGGTCATTAACGATAATCTCGGTAAAACTTAACGAATTATACAAATTCTTCTAACTTTAAATCATTTTATCTAATTAACGTTGAAAAAAGAAAAAGAAAATTTTTTTTCTCCTTCAATTAAACATCTACTGACTCTTTCTGATCATTAACTTTGTACACCCGTTAACTTTTCATCTTCCATTAATTCTGGCCGAAATAACGAACGAGCGTTGGCCAAACAGAACTGCAATCGCCAATTAAAATCTCTATGCCGAAGAAAATTCCTCGCAATTAGTGGAGAGACGGGTTGTAATGGAGAAGGAGCAGAAAGAGGCGGGTTTCAAAACCTTTAGCGTTCAAATCCCAAACCAAGCGGAGAGCTCTTTAAGTCTAGGTTTCCCTTGGAAGGGTAGGTTTCGGCACCCGTTACGATTAATTGCTCCCTCTCTGGTGCGCACTTACCGGTGACCAGATTGGCGTGATGAAACTGGCACACTGCATCCGCTTCGTACCACGAAATCCGATCTCGGAAGTAACGGTAGAAGACGGGAAAACCTTCTTCAGGTAATACCCAGGTGTTGCTTATGTTCACCTAGAAAATAAAGAGGTAAAATATAAAGTGAAAATTTAAGGAAAACGAAACTTGCGTTAATACGAAGGGATTTTACGATCGATTGTATAATATAGAAGGGATTATAATGTAAGGTTGAGTATTATGTCGGATTAAGTATCATAAAATATTAAAAATAACATAAATTTTCCGGAACACTAATTGAATAATACGACATCCGGTTGCAATTTGCTCGTCACCCGTCGAACGTAAATAGTCGGTTCGCGTTCCATATGGAAATGACAGTTATTCGATATCGTTGACAAAACAATTTGTAATTGCAGGTACTGAAGTTTTTCTCATCCCGCAAACAATGGATAATTATTCGTATAAATGGAACTTCCAGTGATATTGATAAAAACTTGTAAAATATGGGTGGTTGTCCGCAACGTTGCAATTTCCGCAACTCTTGATAAACTGCACCCCGTTTCTTTCCTTTAAAAGCACGCGAATTTTAAAGTCGCGTGCGATTCGTGTGGGCGTCGACTACGCCCTTCAGCCAGGCGATATGAATTCGTCTCCGAAGGGAACTAGAGCAGTTTACGTCGAGGTTCGAGATTCCGGAACGATTTCGACGCCCCCAAAGTGGGCCAGGAAGAATTTATGTCGTGAAAATCTGTGCTCACCCGAAGAGGTGCATAGGGAGAGGAACCCACCCTATTATTTGGACCCCGCGAGTTTTCTCTCTCTCCCTTTACTCCAACCCTTACTTCCGGTAATATACGATTATTACCACGACATAATCTCAGAACCATATTACGAACCCTCCAGACCGTTCCCTTCTTAGTTTAGTTATCTTTGTGAAAAATGACTTGGTAATTATCCGCTTTAATAAGAAAGTTTTCTCAACAACTAAAAGTTATTTTCAAAATCGATTTATAGCTTATAATTTGTATAATAACTTTGTGTTAAAAACGTACTTTTGAGAAAATCGTGTTGAAACTTGCGAGTAGCATAATCGGATTCTTTTCAATTTCCAATAAGATCAACTAATCTACAATTCAATGGCCATACAATGAAGTTTACATATTTTCTTTCTGTGCTTTCCAAACTTTTCTGGATAGAGACTCATTGCGTCGCTTCTGTAAATTAATTCAATGTTCGTCCATTTTCTCGACGTATGTCGTAACAATCTTTCATCAAACAAATTGGTCTAAGTATATGCAGAAATTTTCATTCTTTTCAAGTCGTATTGTATGTTCTTTGTGGTCAAGTGCCAAATCATCGAGTTGGAGCTTTATATCCCTAGTAGTATGTACTGGCCAATGATCACAGCTATCGAATCTAGAAGCGGAATCTCTTTCAACCACAGGCTGCTGTATTGTACGTGGTTCTGGCACGGGATTTGGTTTCCCCTTTCTGCGCTCCTTTCCACAATTAGCTAAAGCCGCTGAAATTTCCAATCTAAACTGTTTCAGGGGCATATATTTTAGATTAAGTGCACTCTATACAACAAACAAGTACCTATCACTGTTACTAGAACTAATATTAAACCTAGAAACATTCGGGTTTGGCGCACATCTCTCAAGAGGCTAAATCCGAATGATTCTAGGTCTTGTGTTACTTCAAGTGAGAGTCCTAGTGCAATACTAGAACTAAGACTAGACCGAGAACTAGAAACATTCGGATTTAGCCGCACGTCTCTCAAGACGGCTAAACCCGAATGATTCTAGTTCTAGGTCTTGTGTTAGTTCTAGTTTTAGTGCAATAAAAATATGCAACATAGTGATATCTTATGTTAACTAGCGCTACCTACCACTGTCACTAGAACTAACATTAGACCTAGAACTAGAAACATTCGGGTTTTGCCGCACGTCTCTAAAGACGGCTAAACCCGAATGATTCTAGTTCTAGGTCTTGTGTTAGTTCTAGTGATAGTGCTAGTATAAAACTAGAACTAACACTAGACCTAGAAACATTCGGGCTTAGCCGTGTGACTGAAGACACACGGCTAATACGCAAATCGCGTATTGCAATACCAATACTGTGATATTGGTTGCATACTTACAATGATGACGTCGGGTACAATAATTAATTAACACACTGTAGTTCAGACACAGAATTTGGTTTCCCCTTTCTACGCTCCTTTTCACAATTAGCTAAAGCCGCTGAAATTTCCAATCTAAATTGTTTCAGCGGCATGTATTTTTGGCTCAGTGCAACCCAACCCAACCCAACCCAACCATTCTATACATTAAAACAACCAAGAGTTTACAACGTATATATCCAGAAGATAAGCAAATATTGCAAAATACCAACGTTTTGCCTTGTGAGGCATTTTATAAAGACCCACCAAACCATTGGCTGTATCCACGCCACCCATGTATTTATTGTATTCCTTTACTATGGCAGGACTGGCTATATCTATCTTCGCTTTAACATTTTTATGGAACCTCTTTACAGCACTTGAAGGCTCAACTCCATGCAGAGTACTACCTAACAGGGGGACAGCTTTATTGTCAAACTCTCAAAATCTGGATGAGGAAACGTGGTAAAGATTTTTTTTAATCATATTTAAAACGAGTAAAACTAGAGAGATAAAATTTTATCATCCAAGAAGAAAATTTAATAAACATTTCGCTTAGACACGTTCCAGTAAAGTAGCAAAACCGATCCCAAAATTGCTCCACACCGCAATTTTTAGATGGATCACGTCGGCAGCGCAAAACGGGTAATTTTCTAGGAGCACGTCGCCCGCTGCGGGGCCCCCTTTTGCTGGATACGTGCGGCATGTTTAACCGACGTGACTCGACGCGTACATCACTTCGTCGGGAATCTTCAAAGAAATTGAATCGAACAGGCGAGGCGTCGCGACGCAACGGCGCCCCCCCAAAATCACTAATTGGAACACTCTCAAGACCGGCCATTTATCAAGATCCAATCAGTCAGATTGCGCGTGAATGATAAATGAATTGGTTATCGTTAAGAACTTGATGAAGAACCCATTTTAATGATTAATTTCGAAATATACCATATTGTATTGATTTCAACTTCAATACTACTTTTAAAAGCGTAATTACTTATAGATGCTATACTTCAACGTAGTAAACAAGATGCTTCAGAAATTCTTTTGTTCAGTTGAAGGTACGATTACGTCGTTGCAAGCGACGTGCGATCAGGAGCTGTTTAGACAGGGCCGGAATCGATACGTTTCTTGCGAGTTGGAAAATGGCGTCGAGGCGGCGGAAAAATGGGTTTATGGGGCGGTGAGCCATTTTCCGGGGGAAAATGTGTGGGTTGGTTGAATAGAAAGCGGGTCGGCCGTGTTTACACGTGCACAACGACGCGGTTCTGAATTTTTTATCGTCGCCCGAGTTATTTTCGACCTGCCCAACGTACGTGGACAATCGATGTTGACCGCAGAATAAACAAACTGAAGGCACCCTTTTCGTGGCCTTGCCGCTGATGAATAATGTTGGTTTTGTAACGACAAGGTTGAAACGTAAGTAAATGATGTAAATCTTAAAAATACCACCGCCTCCACCAATTCTTTCCTCACGTAAACTCGCGACTTTTACGCGAATTAATCCCAGGACGGTTCGGATACCGTGCATTGCCAACTGTACGACACGACGTAACGCCCTGGGGATTGAATTTTTCATTTTGCCGTCTGCTCCTATTTCAGCAAAACCAGGAACGAATTTCAGCGGAAAACCGAATTAGGCTGGGTTGAATAATAAAGCGCGACTGTTTGCCTCCCGCAAACGCAATTATAGGGCGGAAAAGGGCGCCGTTAATCGCGACTGGTCGTCAAAAATTCATTCCAACGGCGGCAACATCATCGCAAAATCTCACGCCATCGGCGAGGTTTTCGTGGTCACTTCAAATTACTAAAGCTCTCAAAAGTCGTTTTATTTTTACCCTTTATCTGCGTTTCCATTATCGCCATTTTCTTGTTTCTTCACCATTTTCACTAATATAAGTTCGAAAACACCGTCCTAATAAGATTTGAATTCCAAAGCTTCGCTACGAAACTTTGTTTGTGCTCCGAACGAACGCGGTATTTTCGCGTTGGAAACGAGATTTATTGCTTTTCTCGTCCCACCCCGATCTGCTTTTCTTATTTTACGTATTGTTCGTTTCCGTAAAATTTGCTCGAATGTCTTTGTATGGGACTCCTTTGAGGACTACATCTTTGAAATATTCTATAAAAACTTCTATATATGACACAAGTTGCCATCAGTCACCTTAAATATTTATGAGTTCTCAAAAGAGTATATCGTAAAACTAAAATTGTCTGGAAAATTCCTTAATATTTATTTATGTTTGTTGTGAAACAAGAATACACGCCTAGAAATATCGATCGGCGAGGAAATAATTAAAATTTACTACGAGGGGAGGTAGTTGGAGAAGGAGTCGCTGTGTCTGCATAATTGGAGTAAATAAGGGACTTGAAGGGTGAAGAGAAGGCGTTAATATTACTTAAGTAAGTAGAAACAAAAATATGATTTAACGAAAATGTTGAATATAAAAAATTACCCATGAAAGCTCAATTATTATAATTGTACCAAATTAAAGCTTAAGTATTCTTCTTTCAGAAAATATTAACTTTATTGTTTTAGCATTTTGTAAAAAAAATTAATATAACCATGTGTTTTTATACAAAAAATAATGATAAAATTCAAAAAATCGTGGAAGTCTTATTTTTGAAAATTATAAAATGATTTTTACATCAAATTAAAGCTTAAACTTTTCTCTTTAAGAAAATATATACTTTATTATTTCAAATTACAACGGATGTTGGAAAAAAAATTTAAAGTAATGATGCGTTTTCGACGTTTTATGTAAATCACCAAAAAGTAACGATAAATTTCAAAAAATCGTGGAAGTTTTAATTTTGAAAATTATAAAATGATTATTACATCAAATTAAAACTTAAACTTTCCTTTTTAAGAAAATATATACTTTATTATTTCAAATTGTAACGGATTTTGTAAAAAAAATTTAAAGTAATGATGCGTTTTCGACGTCTTAAGTGAACC